TATCAGTCAGTAAAAGAGGATCAAAAGAAGCAATCAAATTACAAATATGAATAGGTAAAATTTGCCTTATTTTTTGCCAGTCCCAGCAGCCCAGATTTGAGAATAAAGTCACAGGATCATTCAATTCGTCCTAATTTAAAGGATGGAGAGCAAAACTGGCAAGATTATTAATATTAGGAAGCCAAGAATCTTTTCAAAATCTAATTGTCATTCCATTGCCAAGAATCCAACTAAAACCTTTGTAAAAAAAAGTCCCGAACAGCAACCGAATTTTTCCACAGAGGAGAAGGTTTATTATAATTAGAAGAAGTAGGTGATTTTTCTAAACTAAACTTGTACTTATGCCAGACCACTTGAGCCCAAAGATCATGAGGAGATGTAATGAGTCTCCAACAAAGTTTCATACAAAAAACTTTATTGACTAAGTGAATATCACAAAATCCCAAATCCCTCTCACTTTTAGGTTTACAAATGGTTTTCCAACTAACTAAATGACATTTTTTCTCACTTAAAGATCCCCAAATGAATTTTCTACATATTTGATTAATCTCTTTACAAACAGAGATAGGGATAGAGACAGCCTGCATCAAATAGTTAGGAATACTCATTAAACAGCTCTGGGTAAGAGTAATCCTCCCTGCCATAGACAAAGAATTCATTTTTCAAATAGAAAGTTTCTTTCTAATTCTATCAAGAATTTATTTAAAATCCTGCCTAAAAAGACTAAGATGACTGATAGGAATTTCCAGGTAGGTACCAATCTGAGAGGACTGCTTAAAACCTAAACAACTACTAAGATCTTGAGAAATACTAGGAGCACAACCTTTGGAAAAAAAAAAAACACAGAAGATTTATCTTTATTAACCAAGAGACCAGAGGCAACACAAAAATTATTTAAGACATCAGAAATAACTAAAACATTTTGTCTATCAATCTTGATCACTAAAACAATGTCATGAGCAAACATTAAATGAGAGATTTTAGGACCATTATTATTGAAAGAGAAAGACACCCAACATCTATCATTAATTTTATCTTGGATTATATGGATCAATTTTTCAATACACAAAATCTTATTTAAACATAAAGTTTGTAGTTTTTTTTATCAGGTCATATATTATGACCTAATTTAAATTAAATATTAAATAAACATTATAATATTAAGAACTAAAATACTAATTTATTCTTTTTTAGAAAATTATTACCGATCGTGGCAGTAATCTTTTTGGTAATAATTAATGAGTTGGACCGACTTAATGATAATTTTCAAGAGATTTTGTTTTTTAAAATTATCAGTGATACATTTGAATCAAATCCAACATGGATCATAGTTGCCACCCTCTCATTCTTATGGTCCTGTTGCAAAAGCCAAGCGGTTATCAACGTAGGAAACTCCTCATATATCAAACAAAGCAATTGATTTGCATTCACAAATGTTGTGCCGTTTCTATATCTTGCATGGGGAGCAAGGCATCTAGTGGTTGCTCTGTGATATCTTACTCATTTGAACCATAGACACTTATGTTATGTATGCATTATGAATTAAACCTCCATAATAAAATTTTAGGAAAAAATAAAATTATTAAAAACGAAAAAAAGAAGAAGTGAATAAAACAAAAGAAAAGTTTCAACATTATTAAAAACATAAATGAAGAAGGTAGGAAAAATAAACATTTATCTTAGGAAAAATATAAAAGAAGGTAAGAATTTATCTGAAATTTCCACTTTCATCATTTTGATATCATTTCAATAGTGATTAGTGATTACACACGAGAATTAGATAATTTACAATAATCATTTTACTCTTAAAAAGTAAAGTTTCAAATTTATAAGGATGGACTGATTAAGCAAATTAGGAATTACCTAAGCATAGTTCATTAAAAACCAATAAAAATAAGGAAACCTCGGTAGAGTGATTTATATATTAGTATTAAACGTAAAAGAAAAACCAAATTAGAAGAAAAGATACATAATATATATATACAGAGAGAGAGGAAAAAAGAAGAGATAAATCCATTAATATAGTGTAAAATTTATATTTGTATTTTTAATAATTTTTATAAATATAAATTTATTTTTACAATAAAACAAAATAAATAGGTATTTCATTTCATTACTTAATTTTAACATATAATATGTTATTAAAATATAAAAATTTAAATTTTAAATAAAATATATAAATATTTAAATTATTTAAAATTTGATATGTATAATTATGAAAATAATATAAAATAAGTTAATAATTAAAATCATATTTTTATATTTTATAAAATATTATAGTAATATAATATATAAATTTGACATTTAATGCCAATAGACCTTATAAAAAAATATAATAAATAAATATAATTATTTCCCAATAAACTATAAGCACTTAATTTGTTATATTAGGATGAATTACATTACTTTTTGAAGCATTGCATAATTTGTTATACTTAACTTAGATCACATCTTATACGAAAGGTGATATTACCGAAACCTGCTTTCTTTTTACTTACAGCAATGTATGAAAAAACACGTATAAAAGTTATGGTTATGAAATATGTGCATAAATAAGAAAAGAATTCACAACTTGCAATTTAATATATCAATAATGCAATTTTATCATTTATGGTTTTTTAAAAATAATTTTTAATGTTAATTAATTTTTCAGTACTATAATTGAAGTGGAATATGAAAGCTTGATAATTGACTTCGGTCTTCCGCGCTGCACTTTCCTAACGCCTAGTCAAGCCGCTGCCACCTAATTCTCTTATTTCTCCTGTTATACAGTGTTGATTTTATTTAAAGTTAAGAAATGATAATTTTGATACAATTAATTTCAAATTATTAAATAGTGTATGAAATAACTTAAATTATATATTATTATTAATTTTTTTTGTATTAAAAAATAAAAATTAATTCCTTAACTATAAAATAATCAAGCATATATATTGTCTCCAATATATAGTGTATTTCATTTAAATGTTTATATAATATTTGAAATTAAATGAATTAATACATAAGTTCATCCCTAAAAATAATAATTAATATATATTGTTTTGGTTTTATTATGGTCCACTGTTTTGGTCTTTGAAAACACAGGTTTGCATAAATTGATAGGTAAAAATGTCATTGTACTTACAAATTTATGACAACTAAGTGGTCAACTTAAAAATATTTTTATCTTTCTAAAGATGATTTTGTATAAATAATTTTTAAAATATATAAATTATTATTTTGAAGACTAATTTATACATATGATTAAATCACATTATATTATATGCAATCATTATTTAATTCAAATATTATCCTTATTTTTATGGCTAAATTATATTTTCTGTTCTCAAAATTTTGATTTAGTCTTCTAGCTTTGCTTTTATTTAATTTAGTTTTTAATTTAAATTAAGTTTTACTTGAATCTTTTAATTGGTTTTCAATTTAATTTAGTTTTATAAATTATTTTGTCATGTTTAGGTTTTTTGTTAAAATTGTTCAATCTTTTAATTTTTACTAACTCAGATAATATTTGGGTGTATTTAATGTAGAAATAAATTCATAACAAAGATGATTAACTATGAAAATAGTAAATATATGGTATTTGATCAATAATAGTACTTTTTTTAATTGTTAAATATTTACAAAAAAAATTAAAAATAAGTAATTGTTCAGAAATTATATGAAAACAATAAAAAAAGGCTTGCAGTGATATTTTAGAAGTTTTAGACGATGATTTAATAGCAAAATGTATAAAAATAAAAAATAAAAATATTCTTATGCAAAATATTATTATTTAAAAATTTTAGTTAACAAATTATAAAATAAAGTTAATTTTTTTTCTTAAAATAATAATTTTAAAGACTAAATTGAGTAAAAATAAATAAAAACTAAAGTCAAATTTAAATTAAACTTATAGTATTAAATTGAATGAAAAAATAGAAGAGTAAATCAATATTTTATTTTATGTTTTACAAATTTACTTAAAACATAGAAATCAAAAAGAATAATTTTGCTTATTTTATTACGCTAATTTGTCATTATCAATAAATTGATTAAATAATTTATTAGTATAAAATATATTATAATGTAAAATATTATACTAATTATGCATTAAAACGAAATTATTGTACAGAGCTTTCGTACAAAATTGGCGCAACTAACAAATATGGGCACATGTAAATATCTCAATGTATATATTGACGAAACTGTCTGGTAGACCAACCGGTCAAGAGACTCAAAACCCCATTACCATGCAACTATGAAACCCTTTCTCTAAATTTTGAAAATAATGGTTCGAATCTCCTTTCCCTAGTTAATTAGAACTAACTTGTATATATATATTCTTCTAATATTTTAATTTTCCTTTCTTCTTCTTCGTAAAAGTACTTCGTCTTTCTTTCCCTCCCTTAAATACAACATTCCTACAAATCTTTTACCTTTTTTTATTACATGTGTTTGAGACCAAGAATGTGTACTAGTCCGAAAGAAAACAAATTCGAGTCTCTTAAATATCTTATTATGATTATGGATTTGATGTGTCTTGGAATATGTTTTTTTACTTTAGATGAACAAAAATATGTTTTTTATAGTTGTGTTTATATACTCTGTGGACGTGCAAATTGCTGTGTATATAAAGCTTAACCGACCTTCAAGAAAATTATGGCCTTAATAAAGACAGGAATTCTGGGATAGCTTGCGTTTCCACCTTAAAGTCGTACTTAATTTTAGAAACATTATCTCTGTATATGAAAGTAATTTTTATAGTTGACATTCTCTTCAAAAAAGACAATCTCTATTAATTTGATTGCCTCTCCTAATTTTGTTGCTCGTACCAAAAAGTAGTTAATTTGCTTTTGAGCTCAGATCGATAGAGACAAAAGCTTCTTTCCGTTGCCTACTCACTTAAGAAGCCAAATGGTATTGTCTCTTACCATTTTCAATCCAAGCTTTTGAAAGAAAGGACTTAGATAAACAAGGGATCGAAGAGCTGCTAGTATAAAACCTTGCTGAGAACAATTACAATGGCTACACCGCCAAACAGCAGGCTTCAAAGCATGTTGCAGGCTGCGGTGCAATCAGTTCAATGGACTTACAGCCTCTTCTGGCAACTTTGTCCACAGCAAGGGTACCTTAATTATTAGTTTTTTATTTACTTAGTGGAATTAAAACCCGTTTTCCTTAATTCTCTAGTTACACAAATCATATAAATGGAGGTGGATGGATATAGGATTCTGACGTGGGGTGATGGATACTATAACGGAGCAATAAAGACAAGGAAGACGGTGCAAGCAATGGAGGTTAGCACTGAGGAAGCGTCTCTTCAAAGAAGCGAACAACTTAGAGAGTTATATGAATCGTTGTCCGTTGGGGACACAAACCTGCGAAGGCCTTCTGCTGCCTTGTCGCCGGAGGATCTAACGGAATCCGAATGGTTCTATTTGTTATGTGTCTCTTTCTCCTTTCGTCCTGGTTATGGGTAAGTCAAAGTTCCATTCTTTTCTCTGTTAAATCTTTGAAAGTTAATTAACTTGCCTTTCTCTTTGCACATTATCAACTCTTTAACATTGCATTTTAATCTTGAACGATACAAATGTCCATGGCCTTAAGCTAAAGATTTATCTCTTTTTCCTCCTTCTAGTTGTTCATTGTATACGCAAATTAATTGCTTTTAAATATACCTGTATGTTAAATTAAAGTATATTCTATTGAGAATAATTAATGTCTAAGTGTGTTGTTTTCTATATATAAAAATAAAAATATAATTCTAGTATATATTTTTTTACATTTATCAAAACGCGTGTTAGCATATTAAAGTTATTGTCTCGAAGAAGATGCTGGTAATTTATTGAATATCATGTTCTACACAATTTTGCATTTAATTTAAAATTTTGGTGGGATTCTACGTGGGGTTTTGTTTACATAAACTTTAGTTTGACATATAACTGAGTGGATGTGCTAAGGTTACCCGGAATGGCATATGCTAGGAGGCACCATTTATGGCTCACTGGAGCAAACGAAGCAAGCAGTAAAACATTTTCAAGAGCTATTCTTGCCAAGGTGCTTAATTAAATTACTACATATTAATTCATACTGATAACTTTTTATCCACTATTTCAACTGTGTATGATTACAATACAAGAGATCTAAATACATAACTATTTTTCACAATTTAAAAGAATATTTTAGCAAACGTTTATTGTACTATAGTTACTTAATTTTTTACCATGTATGAATGTTAATTTACTAACTAGTTTCTCTTCTCTCTGCTTCCTCAATTCTCAACCACTGCAAAATCTTCCACGGCCAGAGTGCTCATATACAGGTGAAAGGTTTTCTAACATGTCCATATCTGGCCTTCTAATTTCTTATTTAGACATAGTTTAAATACCCTTTGATATTAAAATTTTATTTATTTTATTTTTAGCAAAATTCATCTGATATCTACAGTTTTTAATCCTTCAACACCGTTACATCAATTTCGTTGAGTAATGACGAGATTAATAAATTATCGAGACGTGTAAACATGCAATTTCATCGTCATACCAACATTTAGATAAATAAATTTTACATAAATTAAAATATTTTTATTAAATGATTTTTTTATAAGAACAAAAATTAACATAAGAATGAAAATAAAAATCAGCAATATTGTAACATTACTCTTTAAAATTAATTTTAAGTAATTATAAATATTTAAAATTTTGTTTATTATGCAATAAATACTTTTTCAAAAAAAAAAATCACTTTCGATTACTTAGTTCTAAATTAATATCAATAATAACAAAATTATATATCAAATCTCATGACACTACGTTAAAATATCAATGCAAACCGCAGACAGTGGTGTGCATTCCGGTGTTGGAGGGCGTCGTTGAGTTGGGCACAACCGATAAGGTAAATTAAACAGATTAATAACGATTCCCTCGTAATTAAGTCATAATCATGTGTTTGTATACTTGTCTTAATTATAATTAATACATGTTTTGCATAATTAATTAGGTGGAAAAAGACCTTAAGTTCATCCAACACTTAAAGAGCTTCTTCATAGTCATAGATGAGCATCCTCCAATGGCAATGGCTGCACTATCAGAGTACTCTACTTCCAATCCCACTTCATCCTACCCACCCAATATTCCAAATCAAGACAACAATAACGTGAGCGATGATAATTATAAAGCTGAAGTTCAGTTGGATTCCGAACCAACCACTTTCCCAGCAAGCGAGTTAATGGAGCTTGACACGTTTGAAGACTTTCGGGTCGGGTCACCTGGAGATGGGTCCAACCACTTTGATTCGTTCCCCTCGGAAGAGTCAATGTCACTGTGTTCGCCAGGGTTGGAGCTGCTTCAACTTCAACCACCACCTTCACGTAATTAAACTGCTACTTAATTAATTCGTTAATTATGTTATCATAAACTAAGTTCATTAAATAAGATGTAAGACACGATGAAATCAATCTCCATCCTCAAAATTAATACAGTTCTTTGTTTAGGGTGATTTTGTATAATAATTTAATTAAATATTGACTAATAATTTTTAATAAAAAAATTATATCGTAAATTTGATTATAACAATTATTGAATAAGTTAAAAAAATTATGTTTTTTATAAACTCTTTGAAATACACCCGTACATGTCATCGTCAATGCCAATCAATAAGTTTAAATCTATTAAATTAAAATACTTAGAAACAGTCTTATGAAAATATAGTTCATAACTCATTATACTCTTTTTAAGTTATTTAAATAATATAACGTTCTTAAACAAGCTCTTTTGAGTTAGTTTTAATAAATTTTGAGATAAAATATATGTCGTAAACTTTCGTGATAAAAATTTATTGAATGAGCTGTTATTAAAACGTATTCTAAATTTATATTAATATATTATTTCATATTTTTGCAGCACAGCCTCCGTCGGAAAGCTTAGCACAAGGTGACACGGACACCCATTACTCTCAAACAGTGTCCACTATCCTTCAAAAGAACTCAAGGTGGTGGCTAGATTCACCCTCCACCACCCACCTCACTGATTCCTTTCAATCAGCTTTCAACAAGTGGAGCACTGTTGCTAACAATGACCAACCTCACTTACACGTGGCGGTGACCCATGTCACCTCCCAATGGCTCCTCAAATACATTTTGTTTAGTGTCCCTTACTTGCATGCAAACCGTCTCAAACCCAAGGGTGCTTCGTCCTATGAGACCAGTCACGTCATGGCCGAGCGTCGCCGAAGGGAAAAGCTCAATGAGAGGTTCCTCATTCTAAGGTCAATGGTTCCTTTTATCACCAAAATGGACAAGGCATCTATTTTAGGAGACACCATCGAATATATTAAACAGTTGCGTGATAAGATTGAGAATCTCGAGGTGTGTGATTGCAACACAAGAAAGAGAAGAGTGAGAGAGGTTGAGGTTTCGATCATAGAGAGAGATGCGTTGTTAGAGGTGGAGTGTGTGCATAGGGAAGGGCTGTTGCTTGATGTGATCAAAGTGTTGAGAGAGTTAGGGATAGAAGTCGTAATGGTGCAGTCATCGGTTAAGGATGATGGAGTGTTTGTGGCGGAAATAAGGGCTAAGGTGAAGGAATATGTTAATGGGAAAAGGGTAAGTATTTTAGAAGTGAAGAAGCTTCTTAGCCAGATAATACCCCATCATGAGCCATGCACGTTTGCTTCCAATGATCATTTGAGCATGCGTTTGGACTTGGGATGCATGCATCTAGGGATGAATTAGGAATTTGATTGTGGTGGATGTGGCAAACAAGAAAGTGTGTGTGTCAATTAAATAGGTTGTGTCAAGATTTTGTTCATTTATGTTTGGTCATCAAGTAAATATCTGAATTGATCATGTAAATTATCATGAACTTGTTGAGGATGATTGTGTCATAACTATAATGTCCTCCTTAGCGCCACCTCTACTTGAAACCTATTTTTATGACTGGATTATTGATGATGTGAGAGAATGATCTTGTAATTAGGTCAGTTACCATGAACATTGACTATGGGCAATGTTTGTTGTATGGAATATTGAATGCGTGAATCGTTATTGATTTATGATTCATTAATAAATTAATGATCACCAAATCATGACAACTAATTTCTTAAAATGAATAATAATATACTTCTATGTCAAATATAAATGTATTTATAACAAAGCATCATTTATCCAAAAATCCAACAAAGCATTATTTATCCAAACAAATTTTGGTTAAGATTTCAACTAGTCATGAATAACAACAAATGATTTATCTAGTCAATCTTAAAAAATAAAATTTTATTATTTAAACTAGCCTTGAATTCTCAAAAAGAACATCTTATATAAAAGTTAGATTTAACTTCTATTATACATGTTTAACAATTTAATGGACCCTCATTATACAAGCTTAACATTGCACAATTTTAGTGATCTCTAGTAAAAAAAAAAACTAGGGGAGAGAAAAGTTTTTCATTCAAATTGCTCTCATTCCTATTTTGTCACTAAGAGAAAGAAAGTTTAACTTAGTAAACCAGCAATAGTGAAGTAATTTCCCATATTCATTAAGGACTGTTTTCCAATAGAGAAAATTTTCTCATTAGTAAGTTTGTCATCAAAGAGTAAGATGATTGTTATATGGTAGCTGTGATTCCTTCATTAAAAATGAGAAGGGAGTATTATATTACGAACAAGCGTAGAAGGAGGTGAGATCTCTTCAAAAGAATGAATTGACCTCAAGCAAATCCTACTTATTCTCCTTTTCTCTTTCTCGACCTTGACTACGGAGGGGTTAGCCTTGAGCCAGGTCTTGATTGTTTATTCTATTTTGTTAGTTCAAGTACAGGCAAGTGAATATCTCTCTCTCCCATCTCTACGTGATCATAACTCAAACAACGAAGAATTCAACCAATTTTTTCTATCTAGTTTCTCAAACCTTCTTACCTAATCTTCAAATATTGAATCATCATAATTATCTTCTCCTTTCTCTTTGCGCTCTTCATCCCATTTCCTACATATTTGTATGGCTTTTGATTGCGATTGATGAAAGCAAACTCCATCTGTGATTCTTACTTGATGGTTCAATTATGATTCTTTAAGAGCTTCAGCCAGACAAAGTGCTGCTTTGTACTTATTATGCTATGGTGTTCTTATGAGTTCATTCTTACATGACCCTTCAACAGTTACCAATTTCAAGAGTTTCCAAATAAAACTAAGAAACACCACCACATATTATCTTTCATGGACTAAGATTCCTTCGATTAACTGCGCCATGCAGTTAATGCATTTTTACACTTTCACTTAAGCGAGAAATATTTGCTTGAGTGAAAGTGTAAAAAATGTATTAATTGCAAAGTGCGGGCCAACTTCAGGGTGCACTACTCTTAATCCTCCAGTCCACTTGCAATTGAGGGAAGCAAAAGTTCCTTTCGGCAAGAGCTTTAAGCCCATTAGGGGGAAACAAAAAGAAGAGTAATAAAAGATTCACTTCTACACACTCCCCACCTAGGCCCCCACACCATTTACTAGTGACTATGGCATAATGTGAGTCTCAAATTCTCAATATTTAAAATGTCACATTATTACATCTTCACATACGGAAGTGCTCAAATTTTAACCAAGCCAAATCAAATTTAAATTTAACTACAAAATTCAACAGCATCACCCTTGAGGAGGTGCAGACTGCGCTCTCCAACTCCAACCCATTACCAACTGCAGTTTGGCCCAAAAACCACCCTTGACCAAGTAACCGCTGGAAGGTCCCCTGACTCCTAGTGCTAAATGATAACGCCAAAGCTATATCTTATTAAACCAATACAGCATATATTTTAAAATATAAATCCTCCGATGCATAACGTTTCTTACCTGTCCAACATATGTAGTATAACATGGCCTAAAATGTTACAATGATAATGACATCCAAGCTTAAGAAGTTCACATCATAACGAAACCGAATCAAGGATACATTATATTAAAGCATAAGTCATATTAACAACATGTTCTTCCTATCTTAATTTGGAGCGGAGGATTTCATTCTTCTGGCGTTGTGTTCAATGCGAGGCCTTTGATCACGTGCCGGCATTGAAACCTGTGACGGAGAAAATAATGTAAATCATTTAAAAGTGAGCAACGCTCAAAGGGTCATACAGGGGAGGAAAAAGCGCTAGAGACCATATCATGAAGGAGTAAAACTATGCTATTTGTATACGTAAAATGGAATGCTATTTAGGAAGCTCACAAATATTAAACAGCCCCTGGCAAACAGTAATGGTATGCTTGGACATAAAAACCTAACTGTATGTACTATAAAAGTAAAAAATCCCAATTATGAAGGACTAGATTGCTAACACTATAATATAATGTGCCACGTGAGGAATGATCTGAAGGATTATAAATAACATGTTAACTGGAATTTTTCACCTCCTACCAACAAGTTAAGGCTAGTGAGAAAAAAGGCAATTCATTAAGCAGCATAGAAAAGGCAATTCATCTATGCGAAAAAGTGTGTTTGTAAGATAAATATTCATTGGTGAAAGATACCAGATCAAATCTTCTGAAGTAGGAGCAGCCACTTCCTGATCCCGGTTTCGGCACTTAAAAAGTAACCCGAGAGGCACAACCTATGGTGGAAGTGAATTTCAGTTGCCAGCAATTCATGCAACAATACCTCCCAAAAATTCGATATATAGAAATATCCAATGCATAAGATCCTATTACTAGGAAACAGTACACATGCAATAACTAAAAAAACTAAAATCACTGTCACATAGCATTGCTGAATTATGTTAAATATAAGTTAGGTGGGTGCTTGGCAACTTTCAAAAACGATATTAGCTACATTTGGGTTGGTTATTAAATATAAAATAATGGCTTTTAAATAGTCCAGTTCCAAGTTTTTACTAGCCCAATTTTTGTTGACTCTCATAAAATTTATTTTGTCAAAGAAAATTAACAGAAATTTATTATCTGAATCAAATAAAATTAAAAAATATATTTTATATCAAACAGAAACATATCAAAACCAGTTTTAAACAAGTTTTAAATCAAACTCAATTTCATTTCAAAGTTTCAACAGGTTCTTTATAGGGATTTGTATAACTGGTTCCATTTTGCACTATGTTAAGCTAGTTTTGGAAGTTTCCGAACATACCTTGACAACATCAACAGAAACAATGACAACATAAATGAAAAATAGCTTAAATAGAATTGGAGTGAGATAGCCTGCTCTAACATCAACAGAAACAATGACAATATAAATGAAAAATAGCTTAAATAGAATTGAAGTGAGATAGCCTGCTCTTTAGTTGAATTATTTCCAAAGAATGATGATATTAATGATGGATTGTCGATAGTCTTGAACTCATTTGTGCAACTAATTGACAAAAGTTATATGAGGTTCTATCCCATCATTGGAATTATATTTAAAAAAATATAATTATTGTATCAGATATAACAGAGTGCATGCCATATTTGAAATTAGAAAGCAGTAAACATAAATAGCACTTGCTATCTTCTTTACTGAATAAATAATTCGGGAGCGTCACAAACTATAAAGGCTCCACTAATAAAAATACAGCACATGATACCCTATGTAAATAGAAATTATCATGTACTTCCAACATTGAAAAAGCAATCAAGAATTCAATGTCCTTGTAGCCTATTATACCTTTCTATTATACCTAAAATCACGTTTAGGCAGAAAATGCATAGGCTGATTGAAAGAAGAAGGGGCCTTAATTAACACAAACAATTTGACAGGACCTACACAAAAGAACAAAAGAAGGCAAAGTATTACCGCCTATAGAACAAAGCTAAACAAATAAATGAGATAACTTGAGAGAAATTCATTTAACTTGAGAATAAATACCCAAATTGGTCCTTCAAAGATACACAGGACACCAAGTTGGTCCAACAAAGATTTCAAACACCAAATTAGCCGTCAATGTGAATGAACTTCAATTAGTCCCTCAACATCACTTCGAACATCAATTCCTTCCGACATTTGTGACTCATGTATCTTTAGAGGATCAGGACCAATTTGAGTACATATTCTTCATATCAATACTTATCAACTACCAAAGTCAATAACTACCAGGATAGGTAACAGACCCAACGCCCTTTGATATCAATGTCCGAATTGCCTGTTAAAGAAAACATGAACATACTCTCCTTCCTCTCTCAGAAAACACATTGAATATCTCAATCTGAAACGTAAAAATATCAGTAAGGAACCTTTCTGGAAAGACCGTCAACTGCTTTAGTCCTAGCAAAATCATCAGCAACCTCGGAAACAGCAATTTCATGGGAATAATTCAAGACATAAATGTGCTGAGGTCGAAGTGGGCTAGCTCCAAGAGCTAAAACGACACCGTCTATAGAGGGAACCTCGTTGATCACGATTTTAATTGCAGTTTGTATATTCAAAAGTGAATTCATAAACTTATCCAATCTTTTGATTCCCACCTTGAGGTCCCTCATTTTGCTAACATGCTTTCTACGAAACGACGCCTTTACCTGAGTTTCCAAAGCCATCTCCTGAAAACAACAACAAATTCAGGGCTGCATCATGAAATGCAACGCCAATCTCACACGTAATAAAAATGACTTGAAATTCAAACGATTTCCCCGCAAAAGAATAACACACCAGTTCCTTATACTCCGAATGCATTGCATCAAATTCAACGCTCATATCCTGCACCGTGCTGCATAAACCAAATGCCATCAACACTAAAATTCGAAATCGAAGCATTGAAATTCCACACGTGTGTGGAACCGAAATTGAGAATATTGTTTTATATGTAAATAAAAAAGGAAATGAGAAAGGGGAAGTGTTTGGACGTTTAGAAGTGAAGGAAAAGAGCGTACGAGGGGATTTGCTGGTGCATGTAAAGAACAAAGCCTACGACGTCGTAGATGGTGTGGAAGATAGCAGAGGCATCCAAGGTGTTTGATGCTGTATAGATTTCTTCGTAATCCATCTCTGCCTCAGAGTTCGCCATCGTTTCCATTCTGCTCTTCCTCAATTCAAAATCAAACTGGAAAGACCCCGCCATTCAGTGGGCTAAGCTACCACCTTGGGCTGGCCCAATCTAAAAACAAAACCACTTCGTTCGTTGACCCAAAGTTAAACAACAACCATGTTTTAGAAACAGTGAATATAGAAAAAGTTGTTTACGTAAATATAAGAGGATAATTGTATACTCTTAAAAGTGACCGTTGTAATTCATATATAAAAAGACAGTTTCTTCTTGATTTATAAAGCACCGTAAAAATTATTATAAAAAAAATGATATAATTTAAATATATAATTACAATGATACTTAACGCCCTTCTTGCATAAAACATTGTTCCATTTGGACAAAATCACTTTCAACTGTAAACAACTCAAAATCATATGATTTAAAATTCACTTTCTCGGTTACTCAACAGAAAACCTCAGTTTCTTAACTTATCAATGGTGCAATACTCTTAGAGGATTAAATTGAATTGTAAAAAAGTTAAACGATTGAATTGAAATTTAAGGGTATTCAGATACTAGACAGGTCTCGGATTAGGCAGTTATAAGCTGATTCAATTTTGGACTCCTCATAATTCAAGAATAATAATGGTTTGGTAAAGTATTTTATTATTTATTTAATATATTTTTTTAAAACATATATATCATCACATTTATTGTCTACCAATCCCTTATCCAAGACCACCTTATACATTTGCTTTGGATTAGAAACACTGGTCTCTTCAGCCAAAAACATTCAGTAGCTGATGCCAAACAAGTTCTTCCGTTTCATGCGACTCAAAAGGCTTTCATGAATCATTACAAAGCGGAATAACATACAACCTAAAAAGCGGTGGGTGAATCTCATGGTACAACATTGCCAGTGTAATGTGAGTGCCCACCATTTAGGCCCCTCTTCAGGGCTAACGGCCCACTATCAAGGCATTTAACCTCCTATATCCGGATATCTCGTTTTTATATTACATTTCACGTCTATAACACGAGAATTTCCTGTACAAATTTCAGCTGCAGCTACAACTATAACCTATCTAACAGTTTCCTAAATCCATCAAAACAAGTTTCTTTCAGGGAGAAACCAGATGAAGCTTCTGAATCAGATACTACCAAGTTTCGACAGGCTGCACTTAGAACCTTGTTACCAGCAACCCTAGCCAACCTCAATATTCTTAGACCTGCAGCGTAGACTGTAACGACCTCGAAAAACCAAGCTTCCTGGAAAGATTTTCAACAATAGGCTGTTCTGATCAGTTATGAATACCACAGTTGGAAAATCTGTATTCTGAACACAGAAATTTCCTACTACTTACAATGCTGAATTGCTGATCAAAGTTATCCCAGAGGTTTAAATTCAACAGTACTGAGAAGTGACAGCAAGGTTTTTCTGTAAGCTATACACCATATCGTCTCAACGCATTGCTTAAGCTTGGCATCACATTATATGCTTGATATGATCTTCTAAGTTCAATAATGGAACCGACCTGGACCAGCAAAATCAAGGACTACTTAGTGAATCTGTAGAATAGGCAAGGCAATTGAACAAAGTATTTGATGTTTACGTTGAAAGAAAGTCTATTTCAAAATTTCAATACTGGATATAGAAGTATGACACGTGAACCAAACCCATTATTTTTTGTAGAGGAAAAAGTATTTCGCTAAATCCTCTAAATTCCCGATGAAAATGACTCATTTCTTTGCTGGGTGATGAAAATGGTAGAAACGTTAAATTACTAAAATATTGCCAGTACTAATGACATCAATGGGACATGACTTAACAGGACAATTTTATATTCCCAAATTGAAACTACCTAATAAGCGAAGTCATAAAAGTTAAGCATGAATTTCTTGCCTGATTATGCAGTATATCACAATGAGTTTGCGAGCAAAACAACTAAAAGAACCTTTCGTGCACTTACAATAATTAGCACTGATGTAAAACCAATAGCAAATCCAGCATTGACACGCCGTAAATAGTGGTCAAGAATAGTTGATGTAGTGGCCAAAACACTTAACAACAGTCCCCCTGCAAAATTTCCGCAAGGTAGCAAATTAACATAAAGTACACAAAAATATTAGATTTGATAAAGACATCAAATGAAGCTAAAATTACAGCCTTTCACCAGTAACAGACCCCAAAATCGTGTGGATGCCTGAACCTTTGAGAGGTATTCTATGGTAGCCTTCCCAGGCTTTATGTTTGGTATTCTTGCACCCATCTTATTTAAATAATCAGCAATTTCCTTTGGCATGTTAGCCTGTGCACAATCCACATATAAAACCGTTTACAAAGGTACATACAAGTCATTCTGATTCTTAACACCATATGGAGAAGTTTTAGTGATGCAGCAATTCAACAGATTTACAATAAATATATTTTTAGTTGTGTTGAAAATTAATAATCAGAATAAGCAGTTCAGAATCAGATCATTGCATAGAAACATAAGGAACAGCTTTGATATCTTTTCCCTTGTTCATTCCATATTCTCAGAATCTCAATTGAAACCTAATTCAGCCTACAAACAGTACCAAGGAGACAACCACTAGGCTCCATACATTAGTTTCATTTAGGTTTAAATTTACAGTTATATACAGCAAATTTTGGGACCTAGCATAGAAAATTTGTCAAAACTCATTTTAGTAATCAATTGTAGTAACAATCAACTTCGCTGTGATGTTTTGAACATTTACAGAATAGGCCATTGGAGGCACCCTGATAAGGAGTAGATCACATAGTTTTTAGCCCTATGAGAAGCGATAGAGGGAGGCCAAGGAGAACTTTGGTAGAAATTATTAAAAAAGACCTAATAATAAATAAATCTCTTAAAAATTGGTTTTCACTAAACTCATTAACATCGTATGATCTATGTAGCCGACCTTGCCTAATGGATAAGACTATTACTGTTGTTGATGCTGTTTTAATTTCAGATTGGAATCTGCCTTCAAAGTGTTGCTGCGGCCTTAAATTTTATTCATCTACTGTCTTTTTACATGATCTTGTAAAACTAACAATTTGTATTGAAATAAAACTCAAAATACAGAGTGGAATCTCATTATATCAAGTAGAGCACACAATAAAATAACAGCAGCAAAGAGACACTTACAATATCAAATATATTGAACAGGAAGACAAAAAAAGCATATATGGAATAGTAGACCCATGGCTCAGCACCAACGGAAGTTTCAGGGTTCAATACTTCCTTGACATGCTCCCAAAAAGATGACCTCAACAGACTGCCAATAATAGCAATTTAGAAATTGCACCTTACAAGAAAGTAGTAAATAAAAAAGGAAACGTGACATATTTATACAGCACATGTGACAAGCATCAGGCTAATAGCAAACAGAGGAAGAAGAGCAAGCAAGTTAAGGCACTATGATCACATGTATCAGAAATTTATATAGACAAATTTATCCACAAAAACATTAATCATGAGGCTAAACCAAGAATACCACTTGAATTTGCACAATGGTATATACAAACCTTGCAAGAATGCTTGGAAATGCCAAGAGGTAAGAGGTGGTAAGAACAGGTTGCATCCCTGCTGGATTAATATTGAAAGGAATATAGGGCTCCACTTCAGTAATTGGTGATTGTTCCCTGTTTCAAATTGTAAGAGATGAAAGTATTGATTGTCAACATCAGTATACTCAATATCATTTAATCCCATTAGAAAGACATAGAAACAATCTGCCATAATAAATAAGGGAAGTAATGTCTATTAAATATATAAGCAAAGTCGAACATAAGTTAATAATCAAGCTAGTACAGCACAAGGCAACAAAATGTACTGTTTTCTCAATCAGAGATATGGACAACTTTCCTCATAAACAACCATATCAGAAAATGTCAAGTACAAATTACAAGCGAGAGAATATCAAAAGTCCTAACTCTAGTAACATAAAAATTTTCAAGCAGAAAAACAAGATTTAACTGTCTTAACAAAGACAATGCCATTACCTTGCAGCAGAAGCAAGCTTAAAACCATAGTATTGAAGCTTTACTTTCCTGCAACCTTCAGTGACTACAACTGCCCACATAGTGACTGTGGTGAATATGCCCAATACAGCAAGGACATATGGCCACCAACTCACAGTACTCACTGCAATATCAAGGAATACAAATCAATAAAGATACTAATGATTCCATGAGATAAATATAATAATATTGTTCTACATGTTTTCACCAGATTAAAATTGTATAACACTCTTGTATTTTTTATTTTTTATTTTTTAAATAAACACTTGCAATATTTTTCCAAGTATACATGCTCTTACAGGTCTAACTAAAGCTTTTAGCATATTCCATATTTCAACAGCTATGTTACTCAACATTAGTATGCTGGTCAAATCAATTGGCAACGCAAAAGGTCCTCCAAAATTTTTCATTCCTTGTCTTTTTTGGTCCTATTTTCTCTTTTTGTTTTTAGGCATGTATATGTATGTCTAAGATAGATTTGTCATCTTCAAAACAAAATTAAATGAATAACCGATTATCCTTCTAAACTAAAAAGAAATCTGAGTGTTTGGTTCAACTTATTTTGGAAAAATAATCACTTATTTTTACCTGCTTCCTGAGAAAGCTTTTGAATCCTAAAACAATTGTTACCGATCATGTTGTAAATTAGTAAAAATTTTAGTACTGTCTGAAAATACAATTGTTCCAGGTATCATACATGTTACTTCAATATGTCAAAATTTAAGCATGAGCACGACATCTTGCCAAGTACCTGAAAGCTGGGTAAGCATCTTGTACAACGTCTCCATATAACCCGTAAGTATACCCACACATATGATAAGAGACGAACCTTGACCTGAAGAGAAGATGGCACTATCAGTCACAACAGAATGAATTGAATGATAAAAGCAGATATCCAAAATCTGATGTGTCTTTCAAATCACTAAACCAACTAAAGCATAGGGAATAATCAACATCTTCCATCCCTTTGCAGCATGGCAAAAGAGATAAAACAATAAAGTAAACCGGATCAGCTAAAATTAACATTGTTCAGATGAATTATGATTCTGGTGTTCTTCAAACATTTCTACAATTTTTCAGCTTTACCAAACTAACAAAAGGACCCTTAATACAAGTATATAGTAAATAATTTTTTTAAAATATTTAAATTGTGAAAATTTTCTCTTAAAAAATAAAATTTTGAATAAAATGTTAAAATCTAACCTAAAAAATGTAATTTGTAAATATAATTATTGATTTGGAAAGACAATTTTCTCCTCTCTATTCAATTGTATAAAACAAACTACTATGCTTTCAAAGAAGAGGGATTGGATGCCACTTACAAATGTATTATCAATGTAGCATGACAAAATCAATCAAAAGAATGGCAAACACTCATGTTGTATGTAGCAAACAGGTATCTCTAGATCACTTTTAAAGTTACAAAACCATATGCTTGTAGGTTACCAACCACTCTTGGACAAATGATATATAGCCCTTTGCTGTGGATAATTTTTGTATACATACAAATGATATATATCTCTAGATCACTTACATATGCTTGCAGGTTAAATCACAAAATTTGAAACAAGAAAGAAAGATACAACACTTCATTGAAAATGCAAAGTAACATAGAAAAACTACAAAAGCAAATGGGTAAAAAGTCATTTGTTGTCACTTATGGTACAAATGATATATGACTCTTATCCTAACTAATGAAAGAAATTGAGGAACATCTACTTATTATTTGTATAAGTTCTTCCAAATACAATGCTGATATTCATCCATAAGTTTTCCCACCATATGCTGTGGTTATCTTTTAAAATTTAACTTCCACAACTCCAATCAAGAGCGATAAAGTAACAGTATTGTGGAAAGAAGAATACCAAATCCAGATTCTGATATGGTATCACATATCCATGTAATAGTCATTGCACCACAAACCAACAAAACCGTTGTCACCATTACATGCTTGACCCTGCCAAAAAACCAAATGTTTTAACAAGACAAAAATTTCTAAACAAGGAATTTGGGGTGACAGAAGAGACATCTCACCGTATTTATGACTTAACAAAGTTATGATAACCAAGCAGAGAGAAATCAGAACCATATTATAAAGCATAAAATAAAAACATAATTCAGGATACAGAGGATGGCAATTTCATAAGGAAAAGGCCCTGCTATGTCCTCCAATGATTAAAATTATCTAATTCTAAAGGCATCGTTTGGGATTACAATATTTGGCAAATCATCTATTTAACCTTCTGATATCAACTTGTGAGGAAAACATCCGTAGTTCAATTACTTGTTGAATGATTGAAATCTTGGAAGAAAAATATTCTTCCATACAGATTACCTATAACTGGCAGCATAAATTGAATATGGAAGTGAGTAACAAGAAACTATTAAAGCTTCCAAAATTGCAAAGCCAAGTGACATCCACCATCTGAAATGTGCATAACAAATGAGCAGTTCATTAGTTGAAATTCCTTAAATCACAAATCAGATAAAGGGGGACAGAAAAACAATGTGTAGCCAGGAATTAGCTCACTGCTCAAGATGGATAAATAGACCCACATGTAACTTTTAATCTTCTCATGCCCATCCAGACCTTCTTTCCGCAGCTTTACTAGAGAAGGGACAACATGACAGAGTACCTGCACATGAATATCTTGAATAAATGCAGTTCATAAAAGGCCATAACTTCAAAAGAAAAAAAAATGATCATACACAAGGAAGCGGAGTGCCATGTTGAGAACCTCAGTACTCTAGTTTTTACAAACAAGTATTCTAAAATAAAAATAAGAAGAAAAACCATTCTTCTATCAACCGTACTTAATTTCAAAAAGCATTTTTTTTTTACATAATCAAAAGTACAGAGAGCAATTTTTTCAAAGCAATACTTTGTTTTAAAAGAGGAACACCACTGGTTTCATATAAATCACATACTTCATGATGATGATTAAGACACTAGCAAAAAGATTAAAGAATTGAAAATCATATATAATTAAAGGAATTTAAACATCCTTTGGCCTTCAAAGTAACAGAAAGCAAGCATTGCAAAAATATATGTCTAAAAAACTCAATAAATGAAAGAGATATACCTGCATAATAATAGATGCTATTATCTGAGGACTGATTCCAAGCTGAAAAAGTGATAACTTGAGCTCAGATGTGAAGTCACCAAGTTCATCTGCCAGATGCTACATGAATGACTGTCACATGTATAAACTCAGAAAAATATCCAAGCAAAAAATTGGTCTACCAGAAGCAGTAGAGCAGAAGTTCAAATTTTCCCTCTCACTTAACTGTTCACACTCACAGCTCCCTTGAGCTAACACCTAATTTGTGATCAAACATCGTTTGTCAAGTTATTTAATTAGGTCGGCCCAATAGGCTTAAAAGGTTTTTTTAAAGCTTAACTAGTTTCTTTATTTAAATAGGCCTTTTCAAAAGTTTAAGCTTGAACTTTTTAATAAACAAGCCAAGGCAGGTTAGGCCTTAAATAGGCTAGGGCAAAGGCGCCGACGATCAGCCTAGTCCATTCTCATCTCTATGAGTGACTCCACACAAATTTGAGTGATAACCATTAGCAAATTCACTCAAACATTTCTCCTCAGTTTTCTTTTTCATCTAACTAAGTTCCTTTTAGAATTTCAGGAGTTTCTAAATAAAAACTCCCTCTCATCCTTTTAATAAGGCACCTTCAACTAAATTACACAAATCAACAAAATAGTTAAAGTTAGTTAATTTTCTTCATTTTTCCAAAACATTACCTTTGTTGGTTTAATTTAAGTACTTACCAATTTCACTTATTAAGAGGAAATGGGAAAATAATAATAAATACTTGGTAGAGACTTTAAAGTCCCTAATAAAAAAAGACCATCGAAACCTTCTAGAATGTGCCTTATACTAGGACCAGAGAGAGTATCATTCAATCACCAATTGCAAATGAGAATCAGAAAAGGGGGTCAAATGTTGTAACAACTACAAAATCAAAATCAATGCGAGTGTGAGTAACTGGCAATAAAAAACCACACAACTTACCAACAGATGAACCTGAGACAAAGCTCAAGTAGTCTTGTGGTATCAACCTTCTATCAAATCCCGGAAGAGGAATAAAATAACCAACACGACTAATTACAATTAGCACAGCAGTCACAAACAACCTCCTTCGAATCTCGCTCTTGAAAAACGATTCAGCAGCACCGTTAATGACAGAACTAAAACGCACAAAGTTCAGAAACCTGTTTTTGTACATTCTGGGTTTGAATTGTAGGATTCTAGAGTTGTCAGATGCAACAATCGCTTCCCCTTCGTCGCCACGATTTGACGGAACAACTTCTTCATTAGAAATCTCATTTTTCGGAGCCTCCATGGGTGTATAATTACTTCGGAACCGGTCGGAGAAGTTAACAGAAAGAGTCCGGTTCAGCTTCGGAAATAAAGACCGGTTCAGATTCCTTGTGCTGTATGCGGGGATGGTGAAAAGAGAAATCCTAGCTCCCATTCCATTAATGTATTCAACGTGTCTTCTTCCTGCGAGACGACAGTGCATAATTAATGTTACAATAAGAAGCTACAATGCTTTGTATCTACTTACGTTGCTTTTTTCTTTTCTTTTCTCTTTTGGCGTTAACGGACGGAAAAACTAACCTCCAATTGCGTTAGGTTTCGTCCGGAAGCTGTGTGGATGAAAGTGAATGGAGGAGAATCGCGTTGCTTCCATGGTTGGACTTCCGAACAGTGGGAGAGTGAGTGCGGGAAAGAACGAAAGGAAAAGGGGTTTGTGCTTTAAAATCAACAATTAAACCCTGATCCGTGAACTGGATTCTCTGCTTCACCCACTATAGGTATTACAATCTCTATGGATAATTTTATTGGACCACGTCACGATATTGCGCTTACTGGATACGTGGTGTGTTATGATTGGCTTTTGTATTCCGTTGTGACGAGTTGAAGTCACACATAAAAATTGCCAATGCCTATTTTCAAATTTCGGATGCATTAAAATTATTTTAAAATATTAATAATTAATAGTATAAAAAAATTAGTGGCAAGAAGAGCATTAATATATAATTTTTTTTTTTAGAAGCAAAACTTATTAATACATTTTAATGACAATTACTTATTTTAAAAATATATATCCAATTTAATAAAATGCATCGCAAAACAATAGATGATAAAAGGCAAATAAAAAAGCAAATGATAGTGTGTTTTTCTTTAACTCTTTGACGCTAGAATCGATAAAATGGACTTATCCAATTGGTTACTTTAAATCTGTATGATAAAATTTTAGAATTAAATTTTAAAATTTGAGCCTAAAATAACTAAGATATTTTTAAGTTCAATCTGATCAATTTTCATACAAATTAAATTTGTAAAAACTCAAAAAAAAAAAAAATTATTGACGCTAGAATCGATAAAATGAACTTATCCAATCGGTTACTTCAAATTTGTATAATAAAACTTCAAATTTAAATTTTGAGCCTGAAATAATTAAGATATTTTTTAGTTCAATCTGGTCAATTTTCATACAAATTAAATTTGTAAAAAAATTTAAAAATTTATGGAGTTTGAATATATTTTTGTGAAGTCAAATTAAATTTTAAGTTTTTCAACCCAACTCACTGAATCATTGCTTACAATTAAAGAATCCAAATAAGTCATGTTAGATGGTAAATTTTGTAAGATTTGTACCTCTGTAATAGGGACAGGGATCTAGCAAGATCTCATTGGTGGAAAGTTAAGTTTGGTTGATCTTGTTTTTGGTCTTAAACTTTATTTGTGGGTGTTGCTTTTGGCAATGCTTGCAACGATAGAGATGGTTCCAAGAAGGGAAAAAAAACAATTAACCATGCAAAAACCAAAAGAATCTAAAAGTTAAAAAGAACGAGAGAATGTTTGTGGTTTAGCTTTCACACAAACATGTATATAAACGAGAGAATTACTTACTTTTATAGTAATCCAACATATTTGCTAGCTATAAATTATAAAATGTAATATATTAATTATAAACAATATAATCCGCTATGGTTTTAGATGTAACAAAGATTGAACTGTGAACGCAATATGTCTCGATTATTAAAAATGTAGTTATGTATCCTATTTTATTTATCTGCAAAAAAAAATATTTGACTTCACTTTGTACATACAAAAAATATTTTTCTCTTTTACCTCTTGAGAAAAAACAGCTTCTACCTTTTCTTATAAGAGTATATAAATTAAAAATGAAGTAAGATTAAAAAAATTTAAATATAATACATTTTTTATTACAGATTAATATTTATTAAAAATTATTAAAATTTTAACTTTAATTTAACGAATCTCACTAAGCCTCCTCCTTCAATGTAAAATAAAAACCAGGAACTTTGTGCTTTTATTTTTATTTAAATTAACAACATTACATGATCAGGGCTCCTAATTAACAGCAGCACACACTAAATAACATATTAAACAGCCCGGCTTTAATTTTATGATAGAATTGTCTCTAATTTATTGCATGCATATACAATGTCAGCTCCTTCTGTGTCTCTTCTTTTGTGTTAATCAAATAAGGAACTAGTAAGTCCATTCCTTTGGAAGGAATATCTCTGGAGAAGAGTTTTGACTTTGAGAAATGACACAACATTGTTTGAGAGTATTTTTCTGATCCCTTTTCTTTTTTGTTGACTCACTGCTGTATTGTTCATGTCCTGGGCTATATTTGGGAACTGCAATAAGATTTAAGCATGATATTATTGAACTTTCCTATTAAAGTTAAAATTTAAGGTGTGTTTTATAGCAGAAAATTTTTGTAGTTTAATATAAGATTTTGCATTGTATCTTTTTAATATTAAATTGGATACTAGACCTTGAGGGGGTGAAATCTGCAGACCTAATTGGTGCACTTTAAGATTCAGTGCTTGAACAACTCGAGCTGGAAGGAGGACGGGAGCGCAAGCTGCAAAACAATGGTAAGGTCATTATGTAAATCCAAATTCTGCAAATTATCCCAACAACAATACAAAGGGCATAGCACAACTTGTAAAGGATTGCCATTGGAAAAGCATTTGATCGACGTCACTTTTATTTTGAGATCATTTGGAATAGATGAAATTAACTCTTATGCACGCAAAAAAAAAAAAAAAAAGAAGCAGAAATAAAAACAATACTGATAATAAATTCATGATCAATTATACTAAAAACTCTTCAACTGAAATAAAAAATAATAATAAACTTGAGAATTAAAGTGAGTGACTATTATTCTATTAAACTAAAATGAGACATGAAAAGTTATGAATAGAATGAAGCAAAAAAAATATTAGGAACATATTTTTTAATATTTTTTTAAAAATACTCTTAATTATTAGTTAAAATTTATTAAAAACTATAAAGGTTACTTAAATTTCACTCTTTCTCATTTTAAAATTAGTATTTTTTTCTTATATATATTTTTTTAATAAATTTTAGTCAATAATTAAAAATATATTAAAAAGAACGTTTTCTTCTTCTTTCTCCGGGTAAAAATGTGATGCAGACACAACAAACATACATGTCATTGTGAGGAAATACACGGTTCATCTACCTGGCTTCGTGGTTGATTTTGTGCCTGCTTTTTGGGGTAAGAACACGCCTGTACCACATGATCCCTGCCCAGAAACTAAGAAAATTGCTTGCATTCCAGGCCCACCTGTGGCCTGTTTAGACCTTTGATACCATGATCTTGTAGTAAATTTTGTGTACTGAAGTTGACATACATTTTAATTTCAGTCACCAATAAGAGATGCTAAAAAAGCAGTAAAATTTTTCAGAAAATTAACATAAAGTCCTAATGAATCCATAAGCGATTTTAATTAATCCATAAAGTCCTAATTAGTCCTAATTTCAGTTTAATCTTTCACTGTTTTTGGCAGTGTTAATTGTATGCCTCAATGCATGCATATTGCAGAGAGCAGAATTGCAGAATTAACCACAGCCTAACACTTCCTGTGTTTTTTCTTTAAATTGTCTATCCGCATTCCACAAGCTTTCATGCAAATTAATGGGTACGTATAATATTTGTCTCACACTTCTTATGAAGTATAATGATATAGAGAAAAAGAAAATATATATAATAAAAAAGGGAAGAAAGCATTAAAAAATATAAAATATACACAAAAAATAAGGTACAAATAAATCAAAACCCCGAATTAATTATGCTTACGCATGTGTTACCAACAAGGCTTGCCTCATGACATAACTAATTTCATATTGCATGCTCTAGAACTTTTCCGATACGCCACTAAAGTTATCTACTCGTGTAGGTTTGTTTAATATACGTGTGCATCTTTTCAATTTGATTTTATATAAAATCAGACTAATTAGATTGAGACCATATTCAACTGACACGCTAACCTATATACACCCATTTATTAATTGTTTGAGTCACTTCAGAGGGAGCTGAATTTTGAGCCACGCCATCAACCATTCAAATTAGTATCTGCTTTATTCGTGGCTTTCTGTTCTCAACTCAAGAGAATGTTACCAAAAGTACCAGGACATAAAATTTTAAACATAGAAAAAGGTAAAAAGCTTGGAATATCTACAGCGTGCAACCCCTTTTGTTTCAAAAGAAAACTGTGTGGAAAGGAAGTCGAAATGCAAAATCACATTCTTTCTTCCCACTGACGCCTAAGGTAGCTGCATCTCTTTATACTAATGTCGGTAATTAATTAAAAAGCCTATAAATGCTATGCTAACTTCAAATTGTAGCATGACACATGCCCGGAACGTGATTGTGATTCTTGATTAATTAAATAGAACAATGTTTACATTCTTAATTAGTATGCAGCTCATCAAGTGCCTAACTCATCATTGGAATATCTCTCATTTCACATACAACCTTATTAATGCCTAAACCTAACTAAAAGAATCCTTCATATTATACCCCACATTCCCCAACCAAACTTTTACGCAAACATTGCATCGTGTGGTCTCTAGCTCCTTGCAGCCACAACCAGAGGTAGAGGAGTTGTTGAGAATAGAATGAAATTATATAGAACAGTACCTGTGACCTAGGTTCTCGATGAAATCTGTGGTTTCCCTGCTGCTGCTGCTGCTTCTGTTTTTGGTGACTGTTCTCCATATATACCTGTAGGAAAATTTGAAGATTTAAATTAAACCAGCAATTCGATAAATAATATATATAACCTAACTAGAGAAGCTAAATTCATAATATCAAATTATCAATTTTGTCAATAATATTTTTTAATGTGTGTAAAAGAGTATATAATAAAGCTTTATATATTAAAAATTATAATACAAGATAAAATTTATTTAATTAATAATATTAAATTTTATAATTTATTAATTTTTATTATGTATCATACACGTTAAAAAAACCGATTCATCACTTATAGTTTCTCTTGGGTTGCCAAATAAACAGCTCTCTCTTCATTTTTATTTGAGTTTAATTGGATTACGCACGTAAACACAGTTTCTCTAGTTGGTTAGTGCCATATTTGAAGTCAAATGTTTTATTCAACGGTGTAATCCAATTAATCTCAGATTTTAACGAAGAGGAAGGTTTTTATTTTGTAAAGCAAGAGAAACAAGTGAAAGAAAAAGCAAAAGTGATGAATAAAGAAAGATTAAAGAAGAGAAACGAAGGCAAACGGAGTCACTAACTAACCTTAAAATCGAATGCCTCGTCCAGAACATGAGAGGGTAGCCATGGCATTCCTTCTTCAAAGCCAACTTCACCATCATCATCATGAACCGCAGCCATGAGTAGAACAGGAAAAGCTTATGTTGATGACAGATGAGTTGCTCACTTAGCTTTCTCGTTTAAGAATGGGAGTGCCTTTTAAGCTCCAACTTAAATAACTTGCGTGTCAGAAAGTGGAGACAAAAATAAAACTTTTTATTATATATCTTATTTTTTATTTTTAAATATATTTTTCTCTTTATCCACTTCAAACTTATGTATTGGATATAAAAATGTTATTATCAAAGTATAATTCTTGTATGCTTCTTTATTAATATTAAACAAAGAAAACACAAGGAATGCTAGAATTAAAAAAATAAAAAATCAAATCCGCAAGGACATATATACCTACCTACGCTCCTATACGAGCGCGTTCGTTTAGATGCGAGTACAGGAAATCCTAAACGACTTCGTCGTTTAGATGGTACGTTGACGTCCCGTTCGTCGACACAGTTGAACGCCTTATTGCCCATTAATCCCCTCAGTTATGGAACTTTTCACCTTAATTACCATCTTGCCCTTATAATTTGGTCGTCTGCATTCTGAAATTATACAAGGAGGTTTACAATAACTCTTGCAATTTCTGATTTGGTAAAAATTGGTTGCGAAGTAAATTCAAAGTAAATTTTGCTCCAAGTTTGATGAAGTGAGTGTCCGGATGAAAGTCTATTATAAGCTTGAACTTAAACAATTATGGTTCTACAAATTTATTTTTAATAAAAAAAATAACATAATTTATTTTAATTTAGACATTTTTATCTCAAAAATAAGTTTGAAATACTCTTTTAAATATTTTTATAAATAATATGCACTAATTGTCAAATTTTTTATATGCTTTATTTATTATAAATTTGTATAAATAAAACATTCATCCAGTATTTATATAAGTGAATATCTTTATTTATTTAATATATAAGTAATCAATTTAATCATTTAATATTATAAATATTTCTAAAATGCTATATAAATTTATAATATGCAATTATTTTTATTAATCTTCACAAATTAATAATTTTTTTGATAAAAAAAAATTAGACATTCTTCCTTCGTAACAAGAATATATGTTAAATCATAACACAGTCATTTCATGTCGATTATTGGGCCACTATTAACTTCTAATAAGGCGAGGGACATCTCTGGAAAGTGGAAATTAGAAATCATAAGAAGTGTATCCATGGACGTAGGTTGGGTTCGGTAAACCCCTCTTTGGTGGTTGCAATTATTCTTCACGTAATGTTGTGCTGCTTACTCCATAACCTCATGTTTAATTTGGTCAAAGCCTTTTATTGCCTCATTGGATTATTTTAACAATTAGTTTTTGAATGTCAAATTGTTACTTTGATACGTAATCAGTCTAAGATATGCAGGTAATCACCGATAAAAATAGACCCTGATCCGTTATTTGTTGAGAAAATATAAAAAAAGTTAAAAAAAACTGGTGCAAATGCTATCTAAATTTTATGTACGTATTGTGGAAACTTGTAGCAACTATTCTTAACCACTTTACCAAATCCTTCTATGGTCTTTGATAGAGTAGCTGTGGCATCAACAATCATCACGGCTTCATTAATATAAAATCTACCGGCCATGATTAAACAAATTTATATTTATACTTATTTTAACGTTTTTTATTATAATTTTATGTTAAATCTACTTGCTATCGCTTATCATAAAAAGTAAAACTCTACTGAATCATATGTTTTTATAATTCCTGATAGCAGATACCTCTTGGATTTACTTTTCATTTTTCTTTTCACCAAGCAAAACACAAAGTGATTATTGTTTAGATGAGCTTGAATGGCATGATGAATTGATGATAGTACGTGGGGCTGACAAACTAGCATACAGTTAACCATTTCTTGTTTATTCAATTCTAGATATAAACTAATATGATAAGCATGGTTTTTGTATAGCAGGTTATGTGTGAGATTAATGAGAAGTTGAGAACAGGCCACAAAAATTATTAAACGATAAAAACTTCTGAGAACATTTCATAACACATAGTACTTAGTGCTGCAGATTACTGTTGGTGAAACTGAAACTGAAGCTTTTATACAATTTGGTCAAGTGTGTTGAGAAAAAAAGTAGAAACATTTAGGTGTTTTTTATTTTTGGTCAACGAAACATTTAGGTGTTAAATCATGAAACGGAGCGAACTAAACCGCAGAGATCCAGGCTCAAATAATTTAGGTCACCAAAACTCCCCTCTCATGAGTTGGCAGGCCAAGCAATGAATTTCAATACTATATATAAAGGTGAACCAAACTCTAAAGCAAACCAAAACAAACCAAATAAACAAAACATCTGAAAAATTTATTTGTTGTGCATGGTTTGTACTTGCAAATGCTCTTCGTCCAGTGTTTGATTGATTTTTTTTATAAAGAAGTCATGTAATACTTATTTCTTTTAAATATATTAAAATTTTTAATGTTAAAGACACGTTAAGCTTGATTCTTTCAATGGACACACTAAAAATAAAGCTATTAAACCAGGCTAAGTTGATGGAGTATATAGAATGAGTCTTAAACACTCCTAAAAGTATACAATAAAAACCCTGGGATATGGAAATTTTGGCCATCTATATAACTTGATTTAAATTTCTTAGAGTAATACTACTACTTATATATAGTAATTTAAGATAGAAAAACAGAAAGAGATAAAATGAGTGATATAATAAAAAGAAATTATAAAAATATGTTATACACTTTTATTGTACGTCTTACTCAAATCTTTAACCTTCATGTGATTGGTAAAAGAGAAGTATATATTAGCAAAATGGCTATCAAATTTTTAAGCTTTATGATTGGTTATAAAAAAAAAGGTAATAAAATATGGAAGAAAAGAGAGAAGAAGGAAAATATCTTTATATATTTTTTATTTAGTTCAAGTATTGGATATTTTAGATGAAAGGAAAAGAAAAAGGACTAAAATTGGTCCTCACTTAATTTTATCTCTCTTTAAAAAAATAAAGAAATTTAGTGAGAAAATTTATTTTACACTAGCTAAACATTGTATATCTTTAATTTAATAATTTTATCCAACCATCCTAAGTATCTATACATAATATAATAGTATTTTGTTTTTCTTCTTCTTTCCTCTTGTGAATCAAACAATGTATCCACTCCTTTCATTAAAACTCCCCCTTTCATCAAAATATTCCCTCACCTTCCCAAATGTTAATCTCCATTAACTTCATTTCATTATTATCCTTTTTCTTATTTTGCCTTTTCTCTTTATTTCATATCACGATATCCAAACATACTATTGAGGGTAAAAAAAAATTTTCGTAAAACTATATTTATAATAATTTTTAAAAATGAAACTATAATATATATATATATATATATATATATTTACTCTTTATCTATCCTCGTAGTATAATAATTAAACACATGGACAGTCTAAAATTTATATTGTACAATCAATCGTCGTATAAAACAAACATATACTAACTTATTAGACAAGTTTACATCTTGGGTCTTTATACATAAAAATAAAATCAAATCAAATCATCTCTTAATATTTAGGATCATTAAAGACCTGAACTAGTTCACCTACGTTATAAATGTGGTCTCATATTATTCAAGCTACTTTTTATATTTTTATATTTGATTTTATTTTTTTATTTTATTATTTTTATTATCATAACATTCTTTTCTCTTCTTATCTCTTCCATCCTCTGTTCATTTAATAGTCTAAAATAAAAAGTAAAATAATACTTTTTTATTGTACAGGTAACAGTGAACATGGTCATCTACAATAGTTATTCGATTGCCAAGTTTTTATTGGATATCAGGCCCAAGGGTTTGGAGAGAGGAAAGAGAGTTTGAAAAAAAATGTATTATGTATTTTTTTTTTAATTGAAAAATATGAAAAAAATTGAGAACAGTATACAAGTTTTGTATAACGCCCCAATTTTGTAATGTTATTTAAATTATATTATATATATTCATATGAGTGTTGATTTACTTGATAGTGATGTAAATATATGTATGTGACCTTATTATGATATGAGTTTGTGTTTGGAATTAGATTGAAGGAAAATAGGCTAAGTTCTGGTGCAGAGCATTCTCGTTGCAGCGAGAGATGTCTTGCTGTAGCGAGAGGACTCTGGGTGAAAGGCATGCATCTGTCGCCTTCTTGCTATAGTAAGAATATCTCGCTGTAGCGAAAGGATCTCGCTGTAGCGAGATTATGCAGAAACTAGAGTGTAGTTTCCTCTGAATTTTTCGCTATAGCAGGAGTGTCGCGATCAGAAGGGTATTTGAAGGGTTAAGGTTCGAGAAATGGGTTATTTTTACGTTTTTCCTTCTCTCTTCTACGATTCTCTCGATCCTAGGCTCATTCTTACTGACTGAATCGCATCCAAGGTCGTTTAAGAGCTAAATTGAAGGCTGAAATCACGTTTGGGGTGTTTAGAGGTAAGTTTTAATGACTAGAGTTTCGGTTTCTTGCCCTCATTCTCTATTTTCTTGATTTCCTTGGGTTTTCATGGAGTTTCTCCATGTGTTTAGGCTGAGATCTGTGTGAGGAGCACGTCCTAGGTTGAGTTCGAGTGTGGGTCTTCAATCAAAGGTAAAGGGGAAACTTTACCCTATCTCATTGTTGTGATTTGTTGTTATTTTGTTGAATATTGCTATGTGACCGGGATAGAGGATAGGGATTATGTATTGGATGAAATTGATGTGCAATATGATGTGTGTGATGGAATACCATTGATTGGTGAATAAATGAAGGTTATGTATTGTATGTTGTGGATAAAATGTGGGCTGTGTGCCGTATAACATGAATTAAATATAGGTTGTGTGTCACGTGTAAGCATGAATATTGCGTGTGTGAATGAAATGTATGTGAATGAGGCATGTTGGCGCCGTTATAATGTGCTGTAAATGGTTCAACGATACACTGGGGGTGTGGAAGATGAGGACGGTAGAAATACCTTGGGGAGAAGAGAATGGTGGTGACACCGACTGTGGAACAGATGCACCATGGGCCACACACTCTCTTCCTGACTAGACCTCTGACCACTACCTTTGCTGAGCGACCCGTGACTGTCCACATGATAT